GAAGCACTTGTACTTACGGCTTTCATTTACAGTTTTTTTCGTCAGTCATGTTCGTAGCCTGCGAACACTGCCTATTTTTGGCGACGTGCGGCGTGAAACAAAAGCCAGAAATCCCTCCCGTGTTCGCACCGCAGACCTTTTCGTGCAAAAGCTTACGTCATTCGCACTTTGCTATTATGTGATTGGTCTGTTCGACAGAGCACAAACAAACCACAAACACAAAAGGAAAAGGATGTGGTTTGGATGTGAGCAGCCGTTTCTTTGGGGGAGCGTTGCGTGATATCCCAAAAAACAGCTGCGGAGGAGACTTTCCTTGCTGTAGCTACCAAACGAAACGAGAAAATGACCCTTTTCGCGCCTCGTGGCTTTGCTGCTTGCTGCTCCATCAGTCGCTTCATATTTACCACATCTCGTCCTAGATTTTATCAAAATCGAAGAAACGGACTGCTCATTGAGTCTACCAAACACTATACGAGCTTGTCTGGCACGGAACAGTTCAAAATTCGCCTAATTAAGACAGAAGAAGAATTCGAAACTATCATCATAAATGCGCTGGTGAAGGAAGGCTGGAGGCCAGGTTTAAAAGATGCTGAATGTTTCATGGCTTGTGATCCAACAGCAGGGTTTGTTGGCGAGTTGAACGGGAAACCTATTGGCTGTGTGACAATGGCAAAATATGGTGACAGGTTTGCTTTCGCTGGTTGTTATATCGTGAGCAAAGAATACAGAGGAAAGGGATACGGCAGGAAAATTAGAAAGGCCATTTTTGCAAGAGTGAAGCCTCCTCGCAGCATAGGAATAATATCAGGGCTGCCGCAGGCAGAAGAAATGAATAAACGGGAGGGATTTCACAGTCAGTTTTATGGCGCACTCTTTCTTTTTAACATTCCAACAACCATAGCTTACTTCTCTGAGACATCGATAAGATCACCCGTAAAAATCAAGGGCGTCGAAGAAGTGAATTTGCAAGCGTTATTCATGTATGACACCACGGTGTTTGGCTTTGAACGACATGCGTTCTTGTCCAAATGGCTTCGAATGACTGGCAGTCACGCACGTGTAGCCATCGATAGTGAAGGTTCTATCGTGGGTTACACGGTTGCCCGACCAACGTTCATCAAAGAGAGTTACAAGATTRGTCCGCTGTTTGCAGATTCAGAGGAAATTGCAGAGAAGTTGTTGAAAGCGGTGTTTGAGGAGCTACTTCGACAAGAGGAACCTGCTCCTGTGGTTTGCATTGACGCCCCTACAGAGAAGGCCACGAAACTGTGCGAAAGGCTTCAAGGAAAGAGGTCTTTTGAGTTGGTGTACATGGTCATGGATGATCTCCCTGACGCATGTTTTGATAAATGGTTCGGTTACACTACGGTTCAATTTGGTTAAGCTGTCTGTCAACATCTCACATTTCTTACCCCACCTCAAGATGTGAGCAGCTTAGAACGTCTTACATTTTGTAAACAGCTGTTTGCTGTTGTCGGTAATTCAGAGAAAAGATTGCGTTATTTTGGTGTAGTGTTGAACGAGGAAGATTTACAAGAGGAAAAATGTTAGTCATATTTTCATGGGACGATTGGAACCAGGTGAAAACTGTTTCTTTCAGGTACTTTGTACTTTCAGCCCATTGTGAAATCAGAGTCCTGTAATTCTTTGTAAGTTACTCATTTCGCATCGAACCTTTTACTTTTCAGGCACAGCTGTCTTTTTATAATTGTTTGTAGAAACTTGGTTTCCAGATATTTCACGTATGTTCAGTATTCAAGCTAGAGGAGTTTCTTTTTTGCTGCCAGTCGAGTTTTGAATTTGTGATAGTTTTCTTTTTGCGGATTAGCGAACGATTGTCGTGCTTTAAATTAGTGTAATATTTTCGTTTCTGTTTTCGTTTTTTCAAGTTTCATGTACCTGACACTTCTCAGTATAAATTCATGGAATTATAACAAACAAGTATACTAAACACGAGCAAACACCGTTGTGTCATTATCAGTATGCCTGAACTAAGCAAACTATCAGGCGGTACACACCCTTACAAGACGTGCCGTGATTGGCCGACGGTTTTAACAAAAAATAGAAAAACCCAATTGTTTGAGGAGAACGTAAGCAACACTACTGGAGTAATTAGGCCTAAAAATACATTCCTTTAGGTAGATCTAGTTCAATATTGATGATCGAAGATCACTTGGACCCTAAACTGCTCCTATGATCAAATTCTCGACATCCATTTTTTTTTTTTACGTTTTCGTACACAGTAGGTCTTTCTCAGATAACTTGCCAAATTTCAGTCCAATGACGAACATTAGAACTCGCGTTTTTGAGGAACTTTATTTCCGAGAATTTACGGCCGCCATTAAGTTTCTTTGTTTCAAGTCTTGGTTGAGAATTTGAGTAAATGAAGTCATTTGCTCAAAAATATCACGCGGGTTGAAATTATAATTAAAACAACTAGACGCTTTGCTGCGTGTACCCAGGCAGTCGTTATACTGAGAAGCAATAGCTATGTTGCAATTGAGCTAAATGTTCTGCATTTGAAGTTGTACGAAATTCAATCGAATTGATGTGCTTAAGCTATTCTGCTTTTGATTGCATTTCTTGGAATCGATTGATAACTTATTACCCGTTTGCAAGTCTTTAGGGTGTGAAATGAGTCAATGTCTTTATATCAACCTATAAACGTTTCAGTCTATTTTGCTTAGCCTTTGTCGTTGTTATTTGCGTTTCTCAAGCAAGCGAGACATTTTGAATTTCATAGTTATGGCGA